TGTGGCAGGTGCCTATAGTCCCTGCTACTTGGGAGGCTGAGGCAAGAGAATCACTTAAGCCCAAGAGTTTGAGGTTGCTGTGAGCTGTGATTCCACAGCAATCTATTGAGGGCAACAATGTGAGTGGAACTCTGCCTAAAAATATAAATAAAAAAGATATCAGCCTAAGCAAAGTGAGACCCCAGTCTCTACTGAAAACAGAAAAACTAGCTGGGCATTGTGATGGGCACCTGTATTCCCAGCTACTCAGGAGGCCAAGGCAAGAGTTCTCTTGAGCCCAGGATTTTGAGGTTGTTGTCAACTATGACACCATTGCACCCTACCCAGGGTGATAGAGTGAGATTCTTTCTCCAAAAAAAAAAAAAGAAGAAGAAATAGGTAAACCTGAAAAATATTAAGCCAAACCAGACAGCTTCCCCCACCACCCTCTTGGACCCCTCACCACCTCATGCTTTGGGGACACTCCCTTTATTCATGACAGTTCTTACATGGAAATGGCCAAGAATGGAGGAATGAAGATGGATTTTTCCCTTGACATTGCCCAAGGTACCAGGAAATACTGGGGACAAGGATGAGGCTCCTACGCAGAGTGTAAACCCCGTATGGATATGATGAAAGGGCATTTGTAAAAGGAGAATTCTAAAACTGAGTGTCTCAGGGAAGCTGATGTGCTTCCAATGCTAGGAAAGGAGAGGCCAAGTGCACTGTACTCCCCATTCTCTCCCTGGCGCCTTGAAACCCTGAGGGGGTTTAGCCCTTAGCTGGTGGCTACCAGACTACCTGGCTGTGGCTTTGTGGGGACCCTGGCCAGTGTGGGTGTTCAGCACAATGCTCTTTGCAACTGGAGACACAGCAAGGCTTACATTCATGGGCTGGGTATAGGACAGGCACATGAATTCAGAATTTGTGAAGTCCCCACAAAGATTTCTGCCAGGGCTGGATAGAGACACTCTACAGTCTCCTGGCAGAGCGTAATGGTATAAACTTTAGACAGACCAGCTTATACAAAAGACAAAAAGGGCTGGGTGCAGTGGCTCATGCGTATAGTCCCAGCACTCTGGGGGGCTGAGGCAGGATCACTTGAGCTCAGGAGTTTGAAGTTGCTGTGAGCAAGGTTGATGCCACAGCACTCTAACCTGGGCAACAAAGTGAGTCTCTCTCCAAAAAAAAAGGACAGAAGTGCCCCTGGGGAAATCCCAGGCCCTGCCAGGAGGCTTATTCCCTGGAGTCCAGCCACTGACTACCAGAACCACGAGGTGTCTGCCTTTTTTTTTTTTTTTTTTTTTTT